CCCCAAAACCCCAAAACCCCAAAACCCCGTAGCACGTCACATCTATTGAAAGAGTTGATTAGGTTATAAAATATGAAACATGTGGGCAGGAAGGTGCGTCCGCTTGATGATTTTGGATGAAAGTCTCTGAAATTGGCACTCCATTGGAGGAGGTCCACACACCATGAGTCTGTTTATACCCTGATTCGCATCAGAATAGTCCTGTAAGAGCTCAAGAAGAGAGTCGTCGGTTAGCTTCTCACCACCTGATTGTGTAAGGGTTAGATTTAAGTTGAATTTGTACCCTTTGTGATGTTTCTGGTAGAGCTTTTGAACAGCTTCTACTAGTTCAATTCCGATACATGATTCTCTGGTCGAGAAATATGCATGGATTATAAACTGAGATTTTTCTCCAATTTCATTGAACTCTTCATCTTTGAAGTGTCCTTCCTCATTCATAATTTTTCGTCCAAGATAAGCAAATAGATCCATAAATGGCAGAATACCAGTCCCGGCACAGAATATGACGTTGATCCCTTCACTATTCTCAGGAGAAAAGTCAAATGGCTTTCCTAGGGGACCATTAACATAAAATTTATCAAGATCAGATGCATTAGATAGACGCACTGACATGCCAGTTTTAGCTTTTGGGTACTTTTTAACTACAAACTCAAGGCTATCATCAAAGAGGTCTTGGATATTGGTGTCAGTATCTTCAATTGGTGAACCCTCAGAGACAGCTGTGAATATCTTGCAGTATCTCTGATATACTTCGTCTCTCATACAGTCGCAAATTGTATAGTACCTTCAAAGCTGGTCTTTAAGAGATGTGATGGAATAACCCATACCAGAATACCTCAGATCATTCACTTGATGCTTTCTAGAGATAGCTTCTTTTTGTTTGAGAACTCTCATTTTCACTCTGACAACATCATCAAATATAGTAGATTTTTCCTCGACAACGAAGACGCTCTCTTTGGGTGTTGGTTTCTCCCAATACTCTGTGATTTCTTTAGATGTAGTTCACATTTTGCCAATTGCTAGTTTTTCTAAAATCTTGATCGAATAGCTGGAATGACAATACTTTGGCACGTCACAATTCATTCCAGTTGCACCAAAGATATATTTTCCCACGTCCTGCCCAATATTCTGGGTGATAGCTAAGGCTGTGCCTGGATGCTCATCAATGAAAGATGCTACATCAATAATGTAGTTGTTGAACAGCACTACTTTTCTGCCTTGCTGCACTAAGGAGTCAAACTCTTCACGAGTGTATTTGACGAGATCACTCTTTTTCAGAACTCCTTTTCCGAAATAATCGAAATGCAGGGAATAAATGTACTCAAAAAGGGCAATACAGAGTACCATTACAGTAAAGTGGATGAATATCAGCTTCCTTATAGGAGTCCTGTATCAATACATCCCAGTGGCAACTTCAAGGTTTGATAAGAAGATTAAAATAAATCCGAAGAGTTTGTGACCAATTTTGGAAAACTTTGCAAATTTTAAGTTCTTCCTTGATTTAGAATTTGATATTTTAGAAGCAAATCCTCCTAAAGTTTGGGCAACTGAAAGAGCTGTTACAGTTATTCCTATTGGCGAATGGTTGTATTTAACCACAGTGTAAGATGGGTACTTAAACAATGAAATAAGCACTATAATCAAGGTACTAATTGTCATAAGAAGTCCTAGAGCTATGTGAAGAATCATCCTGAAATTGTACAAGTGTTTCATGTATCTACCTGATGCAACGATAAAGAAGGTCAAAATGCTCCATGTAATGTATAGAATAATACCATGAGCAAGGTAAAACACATCTCTGGTCATGACAAGTTTATTGTAGGAGACTCTTCCTGAAACAGAGTCAATCGTCATGTTGAAGATTCCTCGATCATTCTTGGTGTGCTTCTTCCATGCAGCTTTGTGAAAAGCATATTGCATTGCTATAGACTGATCGAGATTTATTGATTCATCCCTGCCATCCCTGGAGATATCAAGCGGTCTCTCAATAATAACAGTCCAAGCTCCATTGAAGTAACTAGCATCAACCATCTTATAAATATTTTCTGTGTTGTCTTTAGGTTTGTGATGGTTTGTCGAATAAACATCCATAATCATAGGGGTAGTCTCTCCATCGCCTACTTTATCAAAAACAACGACCATCGGAGCATTTTGCATCGTATATCCAAATCCGATACTAATATAGAACTCCTCGGGAAATTCGAATTTAAACTGAATACTCTCATGAGCATCATTAAGACTCGCATCAAAAGTGAATCCTGGTTTCATTTCAAAAGCTGTTTGAGCTGATAACGCTCTAAAAATAATGAGTCAGCTTAAAAAGCAAAGAAGATAAGAAAACTTACTGTAGAAACACGATTACGATTAATACACAAATTTTCATACTTTATTATTATTGGTCAACCATGGGCTGTTTTTAGGGGTTTTGGGGTTTTGGGGTTTTGGGGTTTTGGGG